TTTTACGATCAAGACCAATACATTTGTTTTGCATTTTTAATGATTTTAATTTGCAGTCTATTAATGTCCCTTTTATACTCATTTCTACACTCATACGTTTTATGCAAATACTTTATTTTTTTTTGGTAAATATCTATTATCTTGAGATTTAAGAAAAAATTCCATCAAACTGTTATTTTTTTACTGTAGATATTTAAATGACTTAATAGACGTATTTAAAGGACAATGAGCCCTACCCTACGGGGTACAATATTTGAAATTGTTAGGTAATTACTAATTAATGTTTCTTGAACTTTCTTCTTATATACATATATTTATACATACATATATATATATATATAGGCAAAACTCTTCATACTAAATAAATAAATATTTTTTATAGTAATAGATCAGGTTATTTGTACATATAATATATTATTATAATATTATTTATGGTTTAAATAAAATTTATTGTTGTTTGAAATTTAGTTTCAATAGGTACAATATTTATTCAATGTACTACATTGGTCAGGCTACAAGAATATAAAATAATTTTTTGTTGATATTATTTTTATACTTTATAAATTATAATATATTAATTATAGGTTTGAAATAATTTATATATCGGACAGATCTTAGTGTGTTGCATTTATTGACACTATATTTTTGAAATTAATGCAACACTTTCTCTTATATTACGAAAAAACTGATTGAAGTGTAACTGCTTTACAGAGGGTACGAAAAAAAAATCTACCTACCCAGCACCCATCATATAGCCATATTTCACTGTTATTGCATATTTGATCCATCGCAAAAACTCAGTGTTAAACAGTCTTAACTAACGTACAATTTGAATCTAAAAAAAAGTTATTTCATTTATTTATGTAATTTAAACTAAAATATCAAAATCACAATTTATAATATCGAATTCTATTATAGTAATATTATAGAAGTATACATATATTGCACGTACCTAATTAGGTTATCGGCATTTTTATTCGTTTAGCAGTTTAGCACAATATTTGTATTTTTAAATGAAATTCTAACTGATTGTAATTAATTGTATTATATAGGTATTTACATACATTTTATAATTTACGTGTAAGCGTTAAAATATTTATTTTAAACTTAGTACCTAGTACCAACAATCTAATACTCATACTGGTGTATAGCTTCTATAGTTATATTAATAATAATCAGTTTTTGGAGTTTGTGCCTTTTGTACTACAGCTGACTGTTATTTGCATTAAATTTGTCTAAAAAATAATAAATTATAGGAATATTGATGATTTTATTGATTAATTTGCCATCAAATAAAATAAATTTGATTTTTATTGTAATTTTTAATTATTCTAGACCTAGCAAAAATAATGATTAATTGTGTTAGTTTAGTATTCAATGTATAATAATTTAGTGTACACTATACCTAAATTGAAGAGATTTTCAAACTGTGCTCCATGATAGTTATCTAAGGGCTCTTAAATAAAATAATATTTAGTTATTATCGTGTATATTTTATTAATAAAAATATTTTGTTCCGTAGTTGAAAACGATGTGAGATGTGACTGATGAGAGTGGGTTGAAGAATATTATAATCATTAATTTATTTACGGATAAGAAACTAAAAATCCAATTTAACGAGATTAATAATAATGCACAAACAATATGAATATATTATTATGAATAACATTTGATAAAAATAAAAATTACATTAATTATTTATATTGTTTTTTTTTGTTTTTTTGTTTTTGCTGTTTATGATTATAATATTATAAAACAACAAATTAACAAGCAATCTTCAATGCATTATTATTCAGAGGTTATGTATATTTTATAAGCATTTAAAATGTTTGGGACCCTATAGAATTTTCTTAGCAGCAATAGAACAACAAAGTTTTAGAACTGCTGCTATACGCAATACCTTAAACAGGGGTGCGGGAGTCTTAAATATCCATTTACATGATTTTTATATCATGTTCCTTCCCTTAAACATTTATTAAATGCTCAGTTGAACCTAACTTCAAAGTTCAAATAGATAAAAATGAGATCATAATTTTGCTGTAATAATTCACATATTGTTAAAAAAAAATACCAATTAAACAACAAAAAAACACAGAGCCTGTATTAATTAATGATGCAACATGTAAAATATTATGTAGATAAGTCTGATAATTTAATACGAACCTATATTATTCTATTTCTATCCGTTGAATGATGGTTGAAATAAGTTTCGCTTCATTCGACCGTACTACCATCACGCTAGATTTTTAATTAAAGTACTGTTTTTATTTTACAAGATTATAAATATTTGACTATTGTTAATATTCTGGTATATTTTTATTAAGCTTTTGAACACCTCACACTTATGTGACAACTAGATACAATGTTAAACAGAAAAAAAATTGTCATATAAAACATTTGGAGTACCTTTTTATGCTAGAAATACATTTTAATAAAAAAAAGTGAGTATTCTAAAAATAATACATATATAATACATAACTTTAACACAACCCAAAACTCAGTATTCACACTAGATTTTTATTATATTTGCGATTTAAAGTTATCGGAGTTATTAAAACATCATTAAACAAAAGTTAAAATAAAAATATCAATTACATACTTTTAATTTGATTTTAGAATAAAAAAATTAAATAAATATAGATATAGTACCATAGATTAAATATACTAGTATATTTAATGTATGAAAGTACTCAGTACTTAATATTAATGTGAATCAGCAGTTCAAAATCAATACGGATAAAAAAAAATAATGTATATTGATTATATATAGTTAAGAAAACGTCAATTATAAATAATATTGACATTTGATAAAAAAATTGATCTAAAAAAATCTCTGAATCATATAATCAATATCATCTGATAATATTCATTCAAGCTTTGGATCTCGATAAAATATCAAGTTTTCTTTATAAACATCTATAATTATATCAACATCTGTATTTTAAATTTTTTACTTAAATATCAATTTTAATTGTATTATATTAATCGTTATATTATATACCTAATTATTGTAATTTATAAGTTATGTTGTATCTATATGGCAAAGAATATTATCCTAAATTAAATATTACGTATTATAGTTATTCTATTTCTTTTATCAATCAATGATAAACTGCAGATGACTATTTTATGACCACACGAGATAAATAAAAATAAAATAAAAAGATAAACGTTTTGTGCTTAAAAAAAGTATACTTCTTAAGATCACATTTAGGCATTTAGAAGAGATAATAAAATTAATTGACTCGTCTTAGATAAATAATAATTAATACCGGAAAATCTAAAAAACTATATAATTCTGAATTAATTAGTTGTTATAGCTGCGTAAAATGCGCTGTATCATTAGGTATTTTTAAGTTTACTATTAAATTATATGAAAAAAAAATATATATTAATTAAAAAAAGATAACCTAGCTATTACTTGAGGTTTAAACATTTTGTAATAATTTAATTACATACTTTAGACTAAGATTGGCATTTAAAAAGTGATTGGTATAACTACTTTATTTGTAAATTTGTATATAATTAAAAATAATTAAAAATAATATAATATAAAATAAAATCACTTTAATCAAACACTAATATTTGTATAGATTTAATGTATACAATATGGGTAAAATGCAGTATATATTTATTATAAATATAATTTAATATAATATAGTTTATCTAAAACTAAAACACAAAATAAATATTCAGGTCCAATATTCGAGGCACAGATTCCTGTAAATGTGTATCAATAGATAAAAACTCAAACCATTCCATTAGTAAATAAAACTAAAAGAAGGAAATTGCTTTTAATAAATACAAAATGTTTGTTAAACTATTATAATGTCGACATAATATGTCCTCTGTAATGCTCAAGAGTCCTTCATATAAAAATGAAAACAGAATGGGAATACATTTTTGTTTTAAATATGATTGACAAAAAAATCATAAAAACATATATTTAAGTAAAAAGATTGTTGGTAATCTCATTTTCGCTGCTTAAGGTCTATTATAATAGGATCAATTTTGTTTCGGCATTTTATAGGGACGGGCGTGGATGTATTCTTTATTAAATCTATAAATTTAAAACATTATTTTTTCGTTGCATCTTTTCGAAACGTAAAATTATTACAACTTTACGACCGAGTCTTGCGTTATTATAGTACCTATATACCTATGTATTGGTATGTATAATGCGTATACACTTTCTTCATAATAATATTATGCAGATAATGAAATATAACATGGTACACTACATTATTCTAAACGAATTTTTAACGGTTTGACTCGATAGTMGATTCTAATATAAATATATAATACCTAGAACTGAATATATGTATATAGATATTATGTACAACGTACAAGTATAGATAGGTATGTCTCCCAGTCACAATCAAATTACATCGGAGAAATAAAAAAAAAAATCGATTTGAACATTTCATAAGCGCGTCTTGCGGTCATCTCACCGATAAA